CAGACAGTTAATGGCTGCATTAACCGATGCACTGCTTCGATCTGAGTCCTCAAAATTTTTTTCCAACACAATCCTATAACAACCAACATCGTTATTAGAGGAAGTTAGTGGTTCGACACACGCAAAGTATCTCAATGAGCTGAGCTTCACAAGCGCCTTACTTACTACTCAATTCTTAACTTCTTGCCATACTGCTCACTCTAATGCCAGCAAGTAAATGAAGACACCTATGGTCAAAAACATGTAATCTTTAATGCCTTTCACTTTCAGTGACCATGTTTCACACTTGTAAAGTAGCATATAACCAACTGTGTAGAGAAATAGTTTTTATTAGTGAAATTAAATAAAGCTGCTTTCTAATCAGCTTGTTAGACAGGCGTAGACTGGATAAGTTTGCAGATAGAACATATGCTGTTACAAAGTTGATTTCCTTGGCAAATTCACATTTCTACGACAACAGTAAATTAGAGATAGAGCACCCAATTCGAATACTAACAAATGGATTCAAATCTGTTTGTAAAAGTATTTGGAGTGAAAAGCGTCTGCCAACATGTCCTGTTAAGCTTTTACCTTAATGGTTATAGCATACGCAAAGAGAAGCATGCAATACTCCGATAAAATGAAATATGAAAGTGTTACTGATATCACTGAACCCTTCAAAATCATCAATAAAAAAGATGAAGAGGAAGAATACTTTGTATTTTGATAGTGTGCCGTTTAGGTCTGGAAATAAAAATTCAGAACATAAGGAGATATAGTAATTATCCTGAACTAGTTGCGATAAAAATCTATTTTGTAACACAACTTCTAGATTTTCTGTTATCTGAATTAATGTTGTCTTGTTTCTCATACTCGTGCTTATTTCAGTAATTTAATAAGTCACACCTGAAACGATGTTTTTAAAATTATTATCCCAAGCGAAATACTAAGCCGCATCATCCTGGACGTGCGTCAGTGGCACAGCGCTTAAGACGCTCGCCGACCATGCACATGGTCTGGGATTCTACATAGTTCTTTACCTCGCTAAGCCAGAAATAAAAGCTGGTGGAGAGGAAAGGTTGGACATGAGGCCAGCGACCCCATCCTTTAAAAATAAACACTGCTACAAAAACTTCAAGCCTCTAGCTTGAAGCACTATGTTTCACTGGGAACATGAAGGAATAATAAAAAAATCATCCTGGAGAGAATCAAACACTCTCTGGATGAAAAACTCCGACGGGAACAGGTTGGATTCAGGAGAAGCAAGTCATGTATTGATCAAATCGCCACACTATGGATCATCAATGAACAGAGCTCGGAATGGCAGTCAGCCTCCTACCTCAAATTCATCGACTTTGAAAAGGCCTTCGATAGCGTCGATCGAGAGGTGATTTGGCAACTACTTCGCTACTACGAAGTGCCGCTGCCAATTATACACTTCATCCAACAGTGGTACGACAATGCTGCATGCCAAGTAATCCACAGCGGGAAACTTACAGAATCCTTAGAAGTAAAGACGGAGTAAGACAAGCTGGCTTCCTACTATCTCCAATGATTTTCCTGATTGCAGTAGATTGGATAATGCGACAGACAGCGGACAGCGAGGAAACAGGCGTAAAATGGCCACTCAAGTAAAACTTGGGGGATCTGGACTTCACCGATGATATATATATCTGATTTCCCACAGACTGGAAGATATGCAAGTGAAAAGCCAAGCTTTCGTTTCTCTCATGTCTGTGTGGAGATCAACACTCGGCAATCAGCATGAAAAATAACATCCGGATTTTTAACTCCAGTGTGAAGGCAGTGCTACTTTATGGATCAGAGACCTGGCGCGTCATGAAGAGCACTTCGAGCAAACTATAGATCTTCATCAATAGCTGTCTTCGATTGATACTCAAGATCAGATGGCCGGCCAGAAAAGATCAGCAACAGGGATCTCTGGGAGCGAACCAACCCGGCAGAAACCAATTGTGCAACAAATATACAGGGAGAAATGAAGGTGGATTGACCATACTCTGAGAAAACAAACCATCAAGTGACATCAAACGCCTGGCCATCGCTTGAATGGAACCCGCAGAGGAAGCGGCGATTTGGCTGTCAATGCGAGTGACATGAAAGAGGTCATTCGAAGAGAAGATGACAGCATGTGGGCAGACGGAGAGCCAAGTGAAAACGTTAGCAGAGAACCGAACGCAATGGAGACGTGTGGCTGAAGCTCTTTGATCCTCTAGGAACTAAAGGAAGCAATAATAATGATAATACAATACAATACTTTCACCTCGTCATTCATTGGTTTATCTTTTTTGTGCTTTGAAGTTTCAGCAACAACAAGGTTATCTTCAACGCAGCGGGGTTGTGATGTCTGAAAAAGTATGGTTGTACAGTGTTTTGTTAGGAGCTACAAATGCAAACACTATACATAACCTTTGTTTAAAACGATTCATTGTAAAATACATAACTTTGGGGCACAATAAAAATACAGCGTGCTACTCGTATCTTCGTCTTCTCATTGAACTCTACTGTCTACTTATTTCACTACTAACCATGTTGTGTCCTTTGGAATTCGCAGAAGCCTCTCATCCTCATCTGAAGACTATTCTACAACCAGTACACAGCTTCCGCTAATGAGCAACGACCCCAGCAGTGAATGCATCTGTGGATTATGTTAAAAAATTGTAGCAATGGACTTAACTATATATATCTATAACTTGTGAAATGTATTTTGTATAATATAATGTTTCAATATTTTTTCACTGACTTGGATTTTTATTCTGATATTTTTTACGGTTACGGAGCTTGCTATTGAGGCCCCCACAGGTTTTCTAACTTCATGTGCAGCATTCATTCTTTACCAAACCGAAGAACTGGTTAGTAAACTAGGAGCGGAAAGCACGATTAACGTTCATTACCCTGAAATCAGTATGCAGATATGCAGCACCAGTACAAGATTTGAATTCTTGACGCTAATATAAATTCAGCACTTTTATATGATTCAGAAACTTGACCAAAAGCATTTCCACATTTCACCTGTTAATGTTATGCTTGAATGTTTGTTTTATAAAGTTCTATTCATTTGACGAGTTCCATCGACATTAGGGAGTAGGTCAAATCTCACTTTAGTGAATTCCTGTGCTTCACGAGATTGTTCAAAGTACACTCAACCCATGTAGAGGACGGAAATATAATTTTATATGACTTTTTTTGTTGAAAACATTCGTTTCTATGAGTATATTCCGTTTATCCATTGGATAAAACAAACATTGTTATCCTTATATATAGACATTCCGAAAATAAAATTTTTACAGGGTAAATATAAAATATACACGCGTTTGGACAGAACTTGAGTTCTCCTTAACTGCAGTTACCAGGATGCCATTATTGCAAGCCATTCCAACTTTTTGTGAACTCACTGAATATTCACATCCTCGTTCGAAATAAGACCCGACCGATAGCTGCTACCTTGACGTGGTGGTCATGCTTGCATATTGCAATGACCCAACAAGCTACACTGACTGGAACTAGTGTTCTTGCAGGTCCTACTATGCCAGGAAGATTGTTAGGATAGCGATTAGACTAAAAGCAGTTACTGGCATAGTGTAAGATCTTTTTATACTATGCTAGAGGTCTGTAGGCAAAGTCGTACTGCTCGGGGACAGGAATGTAACAGCAGTCAGGTGTTTCCCTCAAATGATCAGCATGCCACCGATGCTATTTCTCCCCTCTGAAGAGAGGGGTTTAGAAAAAGTCAACCCCAAAAATTGTACATCCCAATTTTCCCTGCTGGCAGTAAGTAACTAATACGCAACCGAACCTGAAATCCAGTCCAAACAGGCCTTATGTGACCGTTCTCAAACAGTCGTCCCCTTGGATCTGCAGTCACGCGACACTAATTCTGTTTCAGATACCCCCAAAAAAATAACTTCCACGGTGTGGGTAGCCAAAGAAGTAACAACAACAGCCCACACACTTCCAGTCAGTTAGTCATTCAAAATAGGAATCAACGAGAAGAGTGAAAATCCTAAAGTGGAGAAGAATCATCGAAATAAAAGACACGTGGACACCTGTGGATTATATTATTAAATTTGTATCCGGTAGACCTAACTTTGTCCACAAGTAACTGTGTCCTCTGATAATTTATTGTTCTTAATAAATGTAATATACTGATACTTGAGTACCTGATATTACTGTTGCGTAGTTTGATATCAAGTATCCCTACCCAGCCTGCAGATATGTCCACTACAGCCTCTATTAGAAATCAGATATCTCGCTTGTAACATATGTGCTGGTAGTTAGCGAAAGCTAAGTCAGCCTTTGTTTGAAATCTTTTCTGCTATACAATATGTCTTTTGCGTATCACAATTAATTCAATTTCTGTTACATAGATCTAATTTTCCTGAAATAATACACACGTATCTTTATATTGCTGGTTTGTATTTCCTTCAACCCACTTATGATCTTGGAATCCTATTGGTTGCCGGTTGTTTTAATTTATCAATGTCAGTGGTGTCTCTCAAGGTCACTTAAAGTAAGTAAATATATACGCAGGCACTGTCAATTGTTTGCGCTGTCAATAAAAGACAGTAAAAGCTCGCCATGACAACGGTTTGTTTTCTCTACTTGCTTTTTTGCGTCGCGTTTCTGATGTTATCGTATTAATGTTGTTGCTGATAGTGGTTAGAACAATAGGCTAGCGAATCAACTAGGTAGGGAAATCGTTTGCGCAACTGCCAAGTACTTTAACGGTCATATCAATGCTTCAAGGTAGTGAAGTTGTGAAATATGAATATAAAGCTAAATAAATCACTGAAAATTCAACATCCACCACTTTACAAAGACAATAAAAAGTAATGTCAATGAAATAATAATAATAATAACAAAAGAAAACTGATAACTCGATTGTTTCTTTGTCCGTCTGTTCTAATAAAAAATGTATGTCAGTCAAAATGTATGAATGAATGTTAACTACTGAAATTTACAATTTACAATAGAAAAGGTAACATACTATATGCTGACGAGGAAGAAAAGATACTGAACACACACACACACACACAATGATGAATAGAAAGGGATGCAGAGGAATACAGAAACGATTAACCAACTAACTATAAAACCAACCTCTCCAACGAAACAATAACAAACTGGCTAGCATAGAGGGATTTTGGATGGTAAGACTCACAAAAGACTCACGTAAAACTGTCCGCATAAATATATATCGGGAAATACACAGTAATCAGAAGACGAAGAAGGTATCATTTCGCCTATTTTTTCCGCCCTAAAAGTTTGCATAAATCATGAAAATATGCAAAAGTCATAGTATAATTCAGAGTTATTTACTGGGTTTTTTTTCTCTAAAAAAAGACAAGTATTCATACAGTAGATTGAAAAGAAAAAGAGAAAAACAGAACGAAACAAAATACAGCAAAACATGAATTCGTTCAATGATCAATGTCACATTTATAAAGGAGATTAAAACAAAAACGAAATTTGGAAAATAAACAAGCCAACATACGTGTACATAACAAATGAAAATAATGTTGAGGTCACGAAAGACGAAATCTGTATACACACTTGCATACATGCATAAAAACATACATAAGGTGTATGCATGCATATTATAGGATAATACTGATTAATAGAAAATATCTTCTCATGTGTATGCAATATTACTTTTGAGGTGAAGTGAAAAACTTTGATATTATAGTATGGCATAATTATAATACTGATAATTATAATAATAATAATAATAATAACCCATAAAATGATTACTATATGGTGAGGAGGAGGAGAAGGAGAAGGAGGACGATGATGACAGTGAATGTGAATACATAGGATATTCTATCATTTATTCTGAAGTAAAAAATATCATCACCATCTTCAGGGATGAACAAGTCTAGTGGATTATTTCTCTCTCTCCAAAGACAAAAGATAACGTAACCACCCAATAACAATAAAATATCATTGAGCATAATCAGAAGAATAAGTTGATGGTGAGTAGTAGCTGTAAAACAACTTGCTCTTTGATAGACTAATGTTAATTGTCCAGCGTACATGAGATAATCAATGAACGAATCACAAGAGACACTGAACGTAACTGAGATTTCATCTGATGAACAGTCAGACAGTGAACATTAACGATAGACATGACACCACCAGCTTTGCATCACTCACTAAAATGTAGAAAAGCAACAACCAAAAGAAAACCACACTGATTAGGAAGTTGAACATGTTTAGAATAGTAAAAAAAGGCATTTAACGAATAAAATACTTGAAACGAAAGACAGAAACTACTGTAACGGCAGAGTACAAGAGTATTTGGCTACTCAATGAACCCAATATACGTCTACCAAATAGTAAAATCACAATTTGCACACGCCTTTGGTACTGATTGTGCTTCTTTGCTTTCCTTTCATGTCTTGCATGTTGTTTTACAAGTATCGTTCATTTCTTCTCTTGGCTAATTGATAGGCTTGTAAATAATACACATATTTATACCTGCATCTATATACTACTTACAAATCTTGTCAGTAGCACATGTAACATTATGTTCTAGAATATATACATTATTCAAATTAAAATAAGGGATCACCAAAACGAATTGTAAGTTCATTTGTTTGATAATAATTCTAAATTGGTAATGTGACGATTCTTACACACATATATACATGCATAACTGTGTTAGAAGAAACCTCTTAATGAAATTCTCTTCAAACCGATACTCTCAAGCATCTTAATATACATACAAAGTAACTAACCTCCTAACTAACTTACTGGTCAAACTTCAGACTTCTATCAGTGACTGAAGTTTCACAAATGGCGGCACACACACATGATTTTATATCTTGTGTAAGTATGATCTGAATGTATGACAGCTGCTTAAATGTTCAAGTGAAGCATACAGATGCTAGCTCATTGGTAGGGATTGACAGGCATGAGAACTAGTCTTATCGCACCTCAGTGGTAGAACAATCGCCAGTCAAAACACGAGGTCCAGGTTCCAATTCAAGCTAATACACTCATTAGACCTCAATTAGCCAGTGTTAAATCTGGTAAAGAAAGGCTAGTGAGCTTGCCCTGTGAAACTTCAAAGATCAAGCGCTTGAAGCCCTATATTCCCTCTGAAACGTAATGGAACGAATAGTGAAATATACAACTGGATCGACTCAATGCAGTCAGTTAATTTTGCGGCAATAATCGCTTTTCATCCATCACGTGAAATGAATAAGCACCAAGTTGTCTAACTAATGTCTTCTCTCAGCTAAATGGCTTTATAGTGAATGAAATAACTCATTTTTTCCCGATAAACTTGACAGGGATTATAATTGTCCTCAGAGGTTCGTTGTATCTTTGTAGTTTTCAGTACTGGTCTGACAGGCAAACGAAATATCAATATTGTCGCATGCATAAGCTTATAAATTAGCCATTTAAGAACATTTTCTGATTATATGGACGGCAAAAAGAAAATATGTGTACAAAGATGATTCACAGAGCTATACAACACTATGTATGCATAAAAGGATAAATGTCACCTTTGAGTTTTAGTCTAAACATACAACAAAACAAAGGTGTTTAATTGATTGTTTCGCATTAAACTTGAAATGTCAACTGGAAAATATCTGGTACACTTCTTTAGATATTATTATAGCTACCACATGAATTTTATGAAAATAATAGTCAAATTGCAAAACTAGTCAATAATAGAAAGTGCAGTGATAAAAAAGATACCATTTACCTTAGCCAAAGCAGATCTTGGTGAACGAGATGGTGGTTTAATTCCACTAGGCAGTGGAATGTTAGTCGTATTCGTCGGTACAGGTAAATGAGATTGTCCAATTGTAGTTTGGCTGATCGATGGTGGCAGTACAGATGGTGGAGGTATACCAGACTTCATAATAGGCAAATTGCCTACTACAGGTGGTCGAATTTTCGACTGGAAGCTTCCAGGAGTCGGTGAGGGTGTAGTATTAATTGGCTTAGGCAGTTTACTACCGCCACCATTATTTAGTGGATGCTCTGAATTATCTTCTGTCGTGGAACCATTTCTTTTTAAAGGCTCTGGTGTCCGTTCTACTCTGCTTATTGATTCGTCATATGTAGAAGTGAATGATGTGTTCGGAGTAGAATTTGTATGTCCATTAGTAGTAGTAGTAGCATTACCATTAGTACTGGTGTTAATAAGTGATTTTATTTTATCTGGAGTAATAGACGGTGGTTTGATACCACTGGGTGGACGAATGCCACTTACACTCACTGAAGCAGAGCATAACACAGGAGGATTCGGTGAATTCGTAATCTGTAAAATAAAGAAGAGTGTGGCATAAAAGACAATGATATAAGAGTGAAACATTAATCTGAAAAGGTGAGTACATACTGCCACTCATAAATACAGTGAAAGAATTTATAGCCTTGATGAACAGAACTAAGATCCAGTTTACACTTGTATTTCATACACAAAGGACAAAAAGACTGGATCAATAATAGAGTAATTAGCGTTTAGTTCTTGTATTCTCTATTGTAGTGATTAATTTATACATGTTGGTACTATGTCCCATTAATCCCTGTAATGTGATTGATCTGCGAATTTGAAATATATATATATATATATATATATAAGATTCGGCATCGGTGGTTGAGCAGTAGAATGCTCACCGACCATGCATGTGTTCCGGGGTTCAGTCACTGACTGATGCACCCATTTTCTTCACTAAGCCGGTAGTACGGCTGGTAAAGCGAGAAGGTTGGGCGTGAGGCTAGCAAACTCACCTCCTCAAAATAAAACTATTGCTACTGAAACTCCAAAGCTCTCGATTGAAGACCTCTGTCCCATTTGGAACTTAAAGCAATTAAAAAACTTTCCGTATTCTGGATACAACTAGTTCCGACTTAACTGAGACAAACATAAACACTAAAGCATCATCTTCGTCCTCTCCCCTTCAATAAATAACTCTGTGGGTATACTGTAGTCTTATATTTGTCCAAACTAAGTTCACTTTGAACAGTTTGAAAAAATTTGGGCATTCGGTATATGATATTCATTATAATTAAAGGTTTTCTTGTGTTTCCCAATGAATGAAAAACAAAACGGTATTGTTTTTACTGACACTTCGCTATTTAATGCTGCTAATAACTTTACGACAGTATTATTAAACCAGAATTTATAAAATCTCAGCATATATATAACAACTTAATCATCGTTCCTAGGTATGGGGTCATTTTTCGTTGCCAAATTGGCCAATTGGTGAAGATAACAAAAGCAGGCGTAGATTTTGGGATTTGATAAGTGTGTTAAATTAAGACAAGCACACTAGTTGATAACGGATGAGAAAGAAAAAGAAGAAATATGATACATTACTGAAACTCTCAAGCAAAACAACTACCCAAGGAACTTCATCAACAAAATAAACACTGACATTAAGTATGGTAAAACGTATTTCGAAAACATGGATCTCAACAGTTGTCATTTCACATAGAGCAGAGACGTCAGACGATATCAGAAGAGTACACAATAAGCTCGACATCAGACTTTTCTTCTCTATCTAATTGTGTCTATAAAATAAAATGCTCTGAATGTAATGCAATATACATCTAACAAACATTCCGAGGAGTCAAGATCAGAAGAAATGAACACCGTAGAGTCGCCTCTGTTCGACCACCGAGAAATCCAGTTGAGTTAGAAAAGCTTGCAAAATCATCAACCATAGGTCTACACGCTATAGAATCAGGCCACGAAATTGATTTTGACAATATTGAAATAATCCAGAAAAATTTCAGATTTCACAAAGAACGTCTCACATTATCAGAAGCACTTCACATCAAGTGGAATCCAAATTGTCTGAATACGAATGATGGACTAAAACAGAATTTGACCTGATTACCACACTCCTATCCCCCATGAAGTGACAAATTCAACACGAATGTAATTAGCAATTCCATTATGTAAACACATGTTGCTTTTATAATTCTACACACTTATCAAATCCCCAAATCTACGCCTGGCTTTGTTATCTTAACCAATTGGCCAATTTGACAACGAAAAATGACCCCATACCTAGGAACGATGATTAAGTTGTTATATATATGCTGAGTTTTTATAAATTCTGGTTTAATAATACTTTGATAAAGCTATTAGCAGCATTAAATAGCGAAATGTCAGTAAAAACAATACCGTTTTGTTTTTCATTCATTGGGAAATACAAGAAAGCCTTTATTATAGTACTCTAGTCTTCCTTAAATATTCAATTTATATTCCACATATTGTATTTTCGTAAAACGTATCATTTGGTGCTCATATTGTACCAAGGTTTTGTTTAAATACGAAAAATAAATACTCTAAATTATCTCTTTTGTGCAAGATACGAATATATTAATTAACATTTTTACCAGATGAGAATAACATCAAAGGCATTTTATGAAATCTAGGAGAAATTTATTTTAATACTAAAATAATTATTGCTTATCAATATTCTGATGTTTGTCCTCAACAGTTGTCCCTAAGTAATACTATGAGGTAGAATCAAAAGTTCTTACACGTTTTGATGTAACACCTTAAATAAGCAAAATAAACACAAGCATTTGTATATAGACACACTCGTTAAAGTATGACTTATAGCTTGAATACAACCAAAGGCCCACTCACTGAGAGTGAATTTCTTTTTGCTTCTTTGCGTTCCAATTGGAACATAGGGCTTCAATCTATAAGCCTAGAAGCTCCAGTAGTAGTATTCATGTTGTTTCTACAAGGGAGAGTTGCTACTCCCACCGCTATCATTCCGACTTTTCCGAGCCTACTACTAGGGGTCAGTCGAACGGGGATCGAATCTCGACCACCCTTGAACCACTGACGCTTATACCGAGTAAATTAGTTACAGTAATTCCGGGTGAGGTAACTAGGATAACGAACAACGATTCCAACTAATTTTCCTGTCATGCAACATCATATATATTCAGAGAAGCAAAATGTGACTGAACTAATGTTCTCTGAAAATGATGTATGTTACAATTATATCCTTTCCATCACACTACCTAAACACACGTATTAATGAAGTTAAAAGCTGTACAGAAATGGGAAATTATTATGACTATTATTATAACTTTTTATATTCTTTTACATTCCCAATGGGACATGGGGTTTCAAGCTACAGATTTGAAGTTTCGGTAGCAGTGCTTTTATTTTTATAGGGTGGGATTGTTAGCCATATGCCCAGCCTTCCCTCTCTACAGGCCTTACTAATGGTTCAGGAGTGTGTCTGACGAGGAAGTTGATAATGCCATTAATGACACTGGTCACCTGCCTAGCCAGTCAGCACTACAGTATCTAAGCCTGAAAGATTAAAGCAAAGCTGAAACTTAGAGGAATTAACGGAAGGCATTGACCCACATAAAATTTACCTAAATATCTTAAATCACTATTTAGAAAATAGTTAATTTTTTAAGCAGTACTTTTCATCATACACTTCCAAAACAATATTAACTTCAATGAAAATTTCTTCGCAAACCAACATCAGTTAGGGAAACCATTGAAAACTAGGGAGCACTGGACAGCTGTTTCGTCCTAGTTTGGAACTCTTCGAACGTTGTGCACACTCACGACGCGGACAGTGATCGAGTTCAGGACCTTCAGATTACGAGACCAAGCTCGTTGAGCACTCGGCCGCTTGGCGCGAGATCCAATGACCCATGAGTTTTAACTTTGTCAATTCGTGACACAGCGTTACCCTAACCAATGCCATTGACTAGTATTCACATCACCTTGACATCACAGACCCTCCAATGGCTACGCCTACTCACTACAGCCTCAGGACATTCATCCAGTAACCGTCGATCAGTTGGAGATTATTATTGTCAGAGTTAGAATACTCGGGTCAGTGAATACCACCTCAAGTGGCTAGATGACCAATGAGCTTGACATTGTAAAATGAAGCTCCCAGGTTCGATTCCTAATACGGTCGTGGGTGTCCCAAACTAGGCCGAAACAATTGTTCAGTGCACCCTAGTTCCAAATGATCTCTATAAATGATGTTGGTTCGTGAAAAAATCTAAGCTGACAGTGATTAAAATCCCTATAAAAATCCATAATCTAACATCAAAGGCATATATGACACTAGAAATATTAACATTTGGTTGATTGGAATTCAGGATTCAGGTTGTAAAGCGATGGCTTCTGAGTTCGTGTACTACCCGTAGCACAACCAATCACCGAGAATTCAAGGCGATGCAGATGACGAGTCCTAAGTAGGACGAAGCTCCTGTCTTCTATTTCACTGTTAAACACAATCAACAAAATAACACAAAATCAACCTCAAGGCATCGTTAAAGCATCCCTACACTCAAAGCCGATAGTGTCACAAGAAACCGACTACTATAATCAATCAGAGGGGAAGTATATATACTTAACAAACATGCTGACCAGAAACGTATTTCTTATTATTTCAAAAATAAAGCTTCAAGTATCAAGATTTCAAAACAGTTAACTTACATTATTTATCTTATTATTTTCTGATGACTGAAATGATGAATTCAACGTTGAATTATTATTCTCTACATGTTTTGAATTATTAGTTGACTCTTCAATTTTAACAGCTGTCGTAGTCATCTTCAGTGTACTTATCTGTTTAGTTAATTCTGTTGACGATTTCACTGTAATCGAAGGCGGTTTAATACGTGATTGGAATGAATCGGAGGTGGACATAGTTGAATGTGTTTTATTATCAGTAACAGCTTCATATGGTTGTGGAGCATATAAACTTGTCAGCTGACTTTTACGCTGAACATTTTGTACAGGTTGTGAATCAGTATTGTAGGCATCCGGTGTATTGTTTTTATTAACAGTTGTCAAGGGTTCAGTGTTAGTTGTAACAACACTGACTGAATGTGTTGGTAATGGTTGCGGAGATGGTGTAGATGCAGTTACCGCACTGATGTGTTCTGGAGTAGTTAACTTTGTGCTATAATTAAGTAGGAAAGAGAGGAAGAGAGAATGTAAAGAATGTCTGTAAGTTGGATTAATAAACTTCATATATAAGAGTGTATATTAAGATAAGAATCAAGAAATTATTTTGAAACAACGAAGTTGATTTTACTAGCTTCGGTGCATTTACAATCTGTGTAAACAGAATGAGCTTTAATTATAGTCTAATAATCAGAATAAGATGTAGACACAGTATTGGATTCGATAACTAGAATGCATTTATACGCGTCTTATGGATGCGTGATTCGGACAGATGAAGCATGCATGAATGTCTGTCTGACTGTCTGTTTTCAACATAGAACTTTGCACCAATGTGCAGCAGTTTAAGTCATCACACTCATTGTAGCACAAAAAGCAAGAGAAGAAAGTAGAAGAAATGCATGATAGAGATAGTAGACAGGAATATGAGACAAAGGAATAGTAATAACGAATAACAATATAGTTTCATTGGAAATTATAAATCACGAGGAGTGGATGCATCTGCGCCAGCCATTGAGAACAATTTTGAGCCATATCACCAATTTTCTCCAGACACTAGGTTTTACCATCCCAAGGACGCCAACGAGGAAGTATACATCTTACTACGTGGCTCAAACTATTTGTTGTGGATTTCATTAACTGATGACATGTTTTGGTTTGACCAACACCGGCTCTTTTCCAACCTGACCATATGTCAGCTAACAGTGCCCGTCGAAGAAGGCGATGACTAGGCATACGTAAAACATGTCCCAACCATCTCAGTCGATGTAGCTTCACAGCATCGTCGATTGATTTCCCTTCCTTACCTACCACTCGACGCCTAACTTCAAGATTGCTCACTCTATTATACCAATTCACACGAGAGATAGAACGCAGGCACCTATGATCGAAGACAGCTAGTGCTTTCATGTCGTCCACTCTCAGTGGCCAGGTCTCACAGACATAAAGGAGGACGGAGCGGACTGCTGAGGAGTACACATGCCCTTCGATCGACAGTCAGCCGAATATCACGTCTACACCAGAGATGGCGTAAACTGGCATATGCGAAACTAGTCCTCTGTATCCGTGCTGAGATTTCATCAGCGATCAACCCACTGGCGTTGGCTGATGCAACTTCCCGAATAAGTGAAGCGGTCAACGTGCTCTACCGCTTCACCCTCTATTTCTAAGCTAGGAATCAGTGTAGTCCAGTCCTGTAGACTGATCATCTTACATTTGGCGGGAGAGAATCGCATGCCAAACATTCGTAGATTGCAGCTCAAGATTTTCAGAAGACTGCATTTTGTCAGCGTCTTCACCTAGAAGGACTATATCATCTGCATATTCTAAGTCAATGAGATTATTCCCTGACGGTAACAAATCAATCCCTGAGTCTCTGAAGTGAGTTAGGGTTAAGTCCATTAGTACGTCTATGATGAAATTGAATAGAAATGGGGATAGTGAGCATCCCTGACGGACACCACTAGTTGTCACCACTTCAGATGACAGAAGCATGAATAGATGAAGATGATTATCTTTATGGTTCTGGGGACATCACTCGTACCAAATTCCCATGAAACTTCGTAAACTCTCTTCATCAGATCGCTGCGCTTGGGTAGCGATGATTTGAGAAGTTCATGAAGCCGGCTCATCCTTCCGTAGGAGATAGCCGAAGCAAAGTAAAAAAAAAGTAAGTATTATCTTTATGGCTTACTCAACTTATTCTAGGGATTCGATTATGTCTATTGTCTTCAAATTCCTTGGAAAAGTATAAAAGACAAACAGAAGGGTTAGCATTAAGACCATTATTCTCATAAATCCTAGCATATATCTTTATGAGTAGATGAGACGACATGCCTCTTAAATACATTTAATCCTACTACAAATATGTGGTGGAGATATGCGGATTATACTTTCACTGTGTACAAAACACAACATATCTCTAACTTATTCATACACATAAAATCGATAGTAGAGGGAGTAAAATATACACTTGAGTTAGAAAATAAAATAGGAGAAATAGGCATGTTTGACTGCAGAATGAAACATACAGGAGAAGTAAAGTTATGCATTTTTTGTTCACAAACAGCCATTGCAATCTAGGCGATACTTAGAATTTAGATCATCACATCCATATAGGTAAAGACAGTCTTAGTTAAGTGCCCAACTAATCGACCAAAGAATTAAACCTAATAAAGCACTAAGGGATAAGTTCTGTATACTAAAGGAACATACTGACCCAATTAAGCAAAATAATTTAACTTATAAAATACTTTGGAGAGAACATGAGGTCGACTACATAGTTCAATCTAGTAGATTGGGTTTAGTTAGGTTGTGGGAGAATAAGAATTTAGCTAAGTATAGAATAACTGACACCATGAAAATGAGTAGCTTTGAAGAAAATTCAGCGATACTTGCGCCAGTACACGATTAAACAATACAGCAAGACATAGCTACAGTTTTAAAAAGTAATACGCCAAGGTAAAGAGAGAGACTAATCACTGAATTTTCGTTCATCGAATATACACAAAACAACCTTCTTATGCAGTATAGGACGAAATTAATTTATCGCACGGCTAAATTGCATTGCTGTCGAAAATTCCAATTAATACTCTATACTTCCGTTTCATTTGTAGAGAACTTTACTATCATCTCAGTATACCTGATACATTTACGTTTTTATTATGAAATTCTTATAATGTTTAGTAACTAGCTAGTGAATCCTAATCAACATTTTATAACTTAAAAATGTTTACTACTGTTGGTATTAGATGGTTGGAGGCAATCGGCAGGAAGCCTTGGACCTAGATTTCATCGTAGCTAGCACTCGTCAGCAAGGCGTACTTACAACCTTGAAGGAACTTATGTCCCTAGACATGGGTTCGAGTCTCAGAAGGGACATGAGTTCCTTCAAGGTTGTGCGTACGCCTTACTGACGACTGCCAACTAGGACGAAACCTAGGTCCAAGATTTTCTGCTTATTGCCTTCACCAATCTAATATCAACAATTCAAAATGCCCTGTGATGGCGGGCCACCTAAAACGGTGGCCACATTGTAAACTCGACTGATAGAATTGTCTGTACCAACCAAAGAACTAGACACATTACACTAGTTACTAACTAGTGTCTAATCAAAAGTTTACTACGGTCAATCCTTTATTACTATTACGTATCATAGGCTGTAGTCATTTTGTAGAGTATAGGGAAACACTTACGATTCAATGTGATAATCGACTTTATAACCTTGATTCATCTATCTACTCGATATTGAAGAGTGAAAAACTAAGAACCAAGAACGCTCTATTTAAACTAGCTGACAACGTATTGTACACTGTAGTTATAGCTGACAGATGATAACTGCGCAAGTTTTAATACAAACTAATACCCATAAACGCCCATACATCATAGTATAGTTACACAGGTTGATGCAAACCTGGTTGAGTTTCAAGATAGAACTTTGCACAGATGTATGGCAGCATATCATACACACACGTAGAGAAAAGAGATAAAACCGGGGATTCAGAGGAACCATAATAGGTAGAAACGTGAAGGAGGAAGAATGATAATATAGAAAATCATGACAGTCTAGTGGATATAGAAGAGATCACAAGGTGTGAATATATCTGTGCCTTTGAGAACGATTTTGGCACATAACAATCATTGGGTTTCTTGGCATACCGAAGACACCAATCGGGCAGTCTATACCTCCCTACGTTGCTATAAAAACTGATATTTCGTGATAACTATCTATCTAACATCAGAGAGTGTATTTGCGTACGTATGGGGCGATTCAAAGAATCTCAACACTATAAGAAATTGAAACATGAATCATTAAGAGTCATAGAATATTACATTACATCGCTGAATTAGCCCCGGTGACTACTTCCTCAGCATTTCATTTTTAATTATTTTTTTTTATATTTTTGATTACAGCTTGATTCCACACCATATTTTTTGGTACAGGTATGGAATTTTCAGCATGTGATATCGGTAGCCCACACCATAGATATCAGCTGTGCGTCGACAGGGGATCAAACCCCGGATCATGTGCATGGTCGGTGAGAGTCCTAACCACTGTGCCACCGATGCACTCATCAATAAACCAATTTATTAGTCTATTCATAATTTGATAACAGATGCATATCTGTGGACGTACAAGTAATCCACACACATAGTAGAGATGATAACTGATAAACTGAAAATACTCACTACAGACTACTTGACACAGTTTACTGTGTGTTTACCAATTAGTGTATAAGTAAAGATACTGAAAACAAATAATCAATAAAGGATTTATTTTGATTGATATTCACTATCACTGTTATTATTATTATTGTTGTTTTGTTTTATTGTAAATAACCTTATTCTAATCTCTCTAGTAGATTGTTTTGATGAAAAAAAAAACCGTTTACATAAACCACCACTCCAACACCCAACATGTCTACACCCACGAGAACAGATACACTCGCCTATAAGCATAAATTACTCTTTCACATTAATTAAACAGTCAATGTGAATATATATCAGATGCATTCTCATGAACGACTGTATATATTTATATGTACATTGGACAGGTTCTTCTTTCTCTCATATAATTGCACTCTTATGATATTTTTTGGCTCTGAGAAAATATGTTAATGCAAAAAACATGAAAAAAAGTAAATGACTGTGCATATCTTATTTCTCTAAATAATAATGAGTAGAGTTCGCGTGTAATATTCTGTTAATTATACAAAAAAAAGAAAACTCATTGAGAGAATTGAGCAAGATTCTGTTAGACATTCTTCTAAAGGCTTTTTTCATTTTGGGTGAATACAAAACAAATAGGTGAAGGTAAAGAAGAGGTTGGTTAACACGTATTTAAGTGATAATTATCATACGGACTCGCCAATGTATATATGAACAATCATCTCATCAAAGAAAAGATGAAAAAGCCTTACATTGAGATAGGAGAACCTAACAATACCGCGGAATTGGCCATAAAAATTGCATATTCCTTTTATCGTTTCGTCATCGAGG